TAAACCCTCGCCGAGCACCAGCTCTCATCTCAGAGAGCCTCAAGACGCACCGATCAGCCAGCATCACCAATACGTTGGACTTGGAGATGCACACGGGGAACCCTGGAGGACTGGAAACTCTCCTGGGTCTCCGGGCACTGGGTGCAGTGCTGGCTGTGAGCCCGGCCTGGCCCGACAGCACCAGGCCTCGTGGGCAGCCGCTGCCCTCTCCGCAGCCTCACGGCCCTGCTCCGCTCCATCAGCCTCGACGCTCCCCGTGCCACTCATGCCGCTGCCAAGCCGGGGCTGTCGCTGTTCTGCTTAATGAGAGGTGAGGCCTCTGAATTTTGTATCAAACCCTCTGTCACCGCGGGCTGCCGGAGCTGTCAGGACCATGGAATATCACAGCCCTGCAGAACTTCACAGACAGCTAGGCTAAAGCTCCCCCTGGGAATGGGCTGCCGGCTCTCACGTCCTCCCCAGCTCCTCGTGCTGGCCCAGCCAGGGAGCGAGCAGCGGCTTTGGGGGCATCTGCTGCAATTTTGCACCAGCCTTTCCCAGGTTTCACCCCCAATCCGCGGTCTCAGTCCTGTTCCACACTTGCTGGAAGCCATCTGGCACTGCTAGGATCAGTGCAAGGGAGAGCGAGGGAGTCTACAGAAGCTCCCATCCAGCTTAGAAAAAGAATTTATTTGTTATTCCCTAAATTCCCTTCTCCACCCTCCTAACCTCTGAGCTCGCACTTACCACGGCTCCCTTTGCATTTTCTGCCCCAGAAGAGGATCAAAACCCACTCTCACAGCCCCGCAGCCTCCTTGGGCAGCAAGCAGCTGCCTTTACCTGCCGCCCGGGAAACCAGAGCCTGGAAAGGCAGCAAAGCCAAGTCCTCCTGCTGACAGAGTCCTCACTGAACTGCTACCACCCAGAGAGGGCACGAGGGAAAGGAAACAGGACGAGGGGAAGCAGAGCAGGACAATGACGTGAGAGTAACTGGAGCCTGGGAGAAGCGGCCCGAAGAGCCGCAGGCTGCAGCCGCCATCCCCCTTTCTCCAGGGACAGCAGCACTTGCTGGTGGAACTGACAACCTGCAGCGAGAAGAGCTGCTGTATTCCAGCCCGGGTGCGATCCCCAGCGACATGGGACCCTGTTAGCACGGAAGAACTCCACAACAAGAAGCCTTGCCAGCTGGGAGTAGAGGGCCGTGTTTCCGTGGCTCGCTCATCTCCTCAAGGCCCAGCCCTAGGCAGCCTCTTGCTGCATCTCCCCTTCCCTCCGTCCCGCCGCTCCTCATGTCGCTAACTGCCCTTTCCTGCAGCCCTCGGGAGCAGGGAGCTCCCGGCACCCCGAGCCTCACTGCTCCACAGAGCTTACAAATCACAGCAACACACAGGGCAAAACAGGAGCAAAAAGCAAAGGTGTTTCCACTGCCTCCAAGCTCTGTCCCCGTTATCGTATCTCATACAAATATTTGACTGAAAAATACATTTCCTGGGACACTGCTGCAGCAAGCTGCAAAAAGACTGTCAACATAAATGATGTTCTGCCAAGGGCAATCTCGCAGCGTCATCTCTAATAACACGGTGCTAAACCCCAACTCACAAGGGATGGGCTCGTCTGCTGGCAGGTTTTTGGTGGCACGTGAGCCCAGGCCCCAGCCCCGCTGTCCCACAGCCCATCACTACGATCCGTCCCTCCTTCCTGCACTTATCTCAGGGCAGGAAAAGGCTCCTCTGTGGGGATGTGAGGGCTGATCTGCCCTCTCATCTCGCCCAGCTGGGCCAAGCTTTTAGGCACGCACAGGGTGACACACAGCCCATCCTCGTGACCATGACCACCCTGCATGCACACGGCAGGAACTGGGGCAGGGGACAGAGAAGCAGACCATGCTCGTCACATATCCACACCCTCCTCTGCAAGAGCAGCTGGATCCACCTGAGCAGCTGGACCTCTAGCATCAAAGGCCTGCAATTCTTCTCCAGCCCAACAAATCTCTCCTAAGTGGGCAACTCCAAGGCTGTTACATGATCCTTCTTTACCAGTGCAGAAGCTGAAGTGCAGGAATGGATTCTGCCCTGTGACACTACCTCAAAAAGAATAGGAGAACCCAACAGTTCTGGTTCCCAAGACCACGCTTTGCTCACTAGGCTCCAGTCACTACCACGTAAGCGTGAAAAAAAAATACTGCAATCTAAAGACGGAGCAACAGAATGAGGATTCAAAATGGACAGTCCTGCTTTAACCCCATGTGTTTTTCCCAGCGCAGAATCCCCCTCCCCAAGCCATTCCCCTGCCACACGAGCAGAGCTCAGTCTCCAGCTCCGCAGCTCTGTCCTGTGCAACTCCAAGAGGCTCCTAAGCCACAAATGCCACCTGAGAGGTGCTGCCCTGTGCCTGCAACTCAAACACTTGCTGCCAACCTGCTCTGCTCCCCTCCCATCATTGAGAGTCCCTTCATGGAGCACAGTAGCACTCTCCTGGGCGCATCAAGGACCTGGGAACAAAGGCAGGATTCCGCAGGGAATCACCTCTTCACTCCTGCATTCAGAGCAGGGCTCCAGAGCCGGCCTGCAGGAAAAGGAGCTGCAGGAAAAGCAGCACCTCTGCAAGGAGGGACCCCAGGCAAAGGTTCATTCCTCATCCACCCAGGTGAGGGGTGCAGGGACAGAGCAGACATATGGTTGCTGCTCCGTTTGCCAGGCAGCAGCGGAGCTCCAAGGGGAAAACAAAAATCCAAGTTATCCCTCTGCTTCTATTTCTACAGCCGGCTCCATTTGGGGGCTGCGTGACTGCATCCCGCTCTCCGTCTGCTCTCCTCCCTTCTTGCTCCAAACACCCGCTTCCCCAGGGAACGTCTGGAAATTTGCACCATGAAGTCTGCGCAGCCCAAACATCTGCAGCGCTCGCAGCGCCGCGGCGCTCTGCTGCTGCCGCCCTGCCGCGGGCCAGGGCAGCGCCTTTCGCCACGGACACCTGATCCCGCCGGCCTCACCGAGGCACAGCCTCCACAGCAAGCACATTTTGGGGGGGTTTTAGGCCATGCAGATATGACGGGAGGGGGTTGCGCTAATTGCTTTCTCTACTGGGAAAAGGCCTTTAATAAAGGAGATGGAGCAATTCCAAGCTGGGATATCTGGAGAGGGGAGGGAAGGCAGTAAAAGGACGACTGGATAGAAAAGCTACAGGGAGGCAGATTCTTTCGCTACGCGCAGCCAGTTCAAACCCAGCCCTGTCTGGGACTTGGAGGGGGGGAAGTTCCCTTTTGTTTTTACAACCAGCAAGGGATTTCTGCCAGACCAGTCCACTCTATCTACTACCAGCTGGTTCAGAACAGGGAGGAAAAGCTCCCTCCAGCCAGTCCAGGCATCCAGAAACGTGCTCTGATGGTGAAGTGCTGAAACAAACAGAAAAAAAAAAGGATCAATACAGTCCAGTCACTCACAGAGAAGTGTGTGGCCTGCAAAGGTCACTGCAGTTTCCCATCTGTCTCGGAGATACTTTTCCCCAATTATAAAAAGCCCCAGAGATTTAACAGGCATGTTTTTCAACCCTATCAGCTCAATCTGGTGCAAAACTCAGGCTCGCATATTTGTTTTTGCAGCCAGCGGGTGGTGCGGTGCTGCAGAAGCGAGATTTGGGCGAGAACTGCAGGCAGAAATCTGCTCGGCCGGCTGGTGCTCCAGAAGGAACGCTTCCCGCTTAACCTCTTCCCCGGCCTCCATTTGCAAAGCAGATTAAACATCGCTCCGTTACAAGGCACAATTACGCAGAACTCGTTAGAATGCCAAGGACAGCACAGTCACTTCTGCAGCGTGATCAATATTACTTATCAATAGCAGAGCTGCCCCAAAGCGGGAGGTGCTGCCAGCTGGGGAACTGCCCCGCGCCCCGCTCGCACCAGCGCCTTGTGACGCACGCAGAGGAGCTGCCAGGGGCTGGCAATTAGACACGGAGAGCTCGGCTGCTCGCGGATTCTCCGTGGATCCCGCATGGATTACCTGTGCCCCACAATCCACGGATCAGAGGTGTGTTTTCGGGCTCCGCGGTTAATTACACTCCCTGCTGATGGATGAACAGCAAAGCCAGCCACGTGAGAACCAAGAGCGCCAAGCACTACAACTACACAGAGACTAACAGGGCTTGGAAGGATTTCAGAGCTCTCAAGGTTAAAGCCTATAAAATACACGGGGGTCAGCAGGCAGAAGAGACTGACACAGTGTGGGGACACTGTCCTGGGACAAGAGAACAGCTGCTCTGCTGGCCTCCCAGCCCTGCTGAGTTTCCCTTTTGCAGGGTGCAGGCTATATTTAATGTTAGAGAGGCCTGGACATCCCAGTGCACCTGCACTCATAGCTCCGCTTGCCCATACTTGCCCGCTGCACTTTTGTGGGGAGTGGGGTCAGAAACTGAGGCCCAGATTGGGAAGCCAAGGCCCGCTCACATCCAAAACCTTGCTGAAATGGTCCAAACTGCCATAGGAAACCCCATCTGAAGCTGTTCCTGACACCACAAGGATCTTTAGAGCACCCCTGGCAGCTTAGCATAGAGCTAGTAACACACAGACCAAGCATGTCAGGCATTGCTGGTCCCAACCTCCTCTGGACCTGGCTGTGCAACCCAGGGCAAGCACAACGGGGCCATCCACTCCACCTCTGGCCATTGACCCTGCTAGCTCGGGCAAGCCTTGCTCCCTGCCCAGCCTTCACCTCTTGCTGTCTGAGGCCGAAAAGCAGCTGCTGCCATTACAATCCCCCTGCAAAAGAGACCCCTCAGCGCTGACAGGAACAACCCTGCGGTCATTCGTTCAGCAGGCCGGTCCTGCGGCTGGGCAGAGCAGCCAGCTGCGACCCTCAGCTGGCCCCAACCCAGCCCATTTACCCGTCGTATGAAAGAGGAGTCTTTGTGTGAAAGCCTTCTCTGCAAGTCTGAGGCAAACCCTCCCATGCAGAGGCACAGCAGCAGGTAAGACCATCCACCTCAGGTGGGCTCCACGCAGATCTCGCCCAGTCCCGCTCGCTCCTCACCTTTCAGGACGCTGAGGACCGCCGCGTTGCTGTAGCGCCTTCGGGCAGCATTGGTGGCCACGCAGTGGTAGGCACCAGCATCGCTCTCCTGCACATCCACAATTTGGAGGACTCCATTTGGAAGAGTTATGAACCTGAGTGACCAAAAGGGAGAGCATGAGATAGACTGCACCTTGACATGGCTGTTCAGTCAACTCAAAAACCTGTTATTCCTTTTCTGCTGAAAACGTATTGTGTGCAGATCCAAGCAGCAGGAAAGAACTATCCATGGCACTAGAGTCCTCACAGGCTGGGATCAGCTTTTCAGTGACCACCCTGGCAGGTTCTGCTGATTCAAACCAGCTGTACAGAAGCTGACAACTCCATAGGTGCACAAACATTTCTGCATATAGAAATGCAGACCCATCCAGATGCAAGCACCTCTGCACCCATGGTCCTCCATGGGCAGCCACTTGCTTTTCATAGAGGTTTGGTAGCCAGGGAAAAAAATATATATATATATATAACACTGCGAGGAGGACTGAATGTCATCTGTTCCCTGCTGCACCTCATGTGCATGAAGGAAGGACCAGACACCACCCAGCTACACTTTCATGGTCCAAAACTGCCGGGATGTTGTTCCTGTAGTGCGCAGTCACCCACAATTGCCCGAGGCCTGGGCTCTGGGATTGCTTTGGCTCTTCCAGGAGTTTCTGGCTCTCAGAAGATCAAACTTAGCAGCCTGGCATTCAGTACCCACCTCATTTGTCCATGGGGTGTCACTGGGGAATATTCCATTAAATAAAATGGCTACACGGCTCCCGACAGGAGCACAGTCCTCACCGCTTTATTCCGAACAAAGCAGATGATTAGCAATTAGCATAAAAGTAGGAGCTGGCTGTCAGCAGCTCCATTTTCTGCCTGGATTCCTAGATGGCAGCCTCTTTCTTCTTGAATGCAAGGCGCAAAGCCTGCGTGATCCTTTTTAATTATATATGAGATCCTTTTTTAATTGCAAGCCTCCATAAACAGAGCTGCCGAGCTTTGACAGGCAGCTCTGGGTTATCAGTCTTCATTACGAAGAGGGCGCATTCAAAGGCCATTGCTAAGGGGAGGGAAAGCAGCTATTCCACAAACGGCACAAAGAGGAGTTGTAACTATGAATGCCAGCCTTTCCTTCCATGAACATCCCAATAAGTTACCCAGAGATAAGTAACTGGTTCTCCAGGTGCTGAAACAGCCGGAGGGCCATGAGAGGCCCACAGAACCAGGAGGACCTTGAGGGATCACCCACCACACACTCAAGGCAGTGACAGGGGTCCCTCCCCTGCCCCAGGCAGTCAGTCCTAGGGATGAATATCCCTCTTGATAGTCTAGTGTCTCTCCTGAGCCTCAGCTGCTGCAATGAGGCCTCACCTGCAGCACATGTGGAAACAAGAGAGCTGGCAGAGCCACGCGGTGACCACGCTGTCACTATGGGCACAACCCTCAGCGTGGTCCACGGACACTGCCCTGCTGAGGCTTCCCATGGGAATGGAGGGGGAACCTTCAACTTTGCCCTCCTGCCCCACATCCCTAAAGGCTCCCCCTAAAGAGACATGGTTTTTCTAGGGGTCAAGCTCCAGTGACCTCACAGGAGGTGCAACCCACACCGCACTTGTCAGGATGCCTCTCAGGACACAGGAGAAAGTTATTTGCGTCCTCTCAGCTCTATGGATGAAAAGTTGCCCAACTGTGATGAGATTTATTTTTAGTATACAGTAAGTATGTCTTGTTTTAAGTCCGTAATTAGTATCAATATATTGAAACACTAAGCAAGGAATCTCCCAGCCACAAGCAGAGCATTCAAGCACGTGCCACAGCATCACTGCGGCTGCCAGGGCGCTCTGGAGAGCATCTGATCCCGAACCCCTGCTCAGAGCTGGCGTTGTCCAGCACTTTCACGGGAGCTCAGAACTGGGCAGAGATGTGGACTCCCCAGTGCTGAGAAGAACGAGGTAGATTCAGCTGATACAAAGCTCCGGATGGTCCCTCTGGCAACACCAATAGTAGAAATCCACTTACAGCCTGCAAGGGCAGTTCACCCCAGTTCACCCCAGGCTCTCTCTCCACAAAGCGGTTGCACTTGCCTGGTGATTCAGAGCAGTTGGCACTGGCTTTCTGTGCACACAAAGGCCAGAAGGATCTTTTTTGTCTGCTCACCTTCACTACGGATTAAGCAGCATAAAAAAAAAAATTAATAATAAAGACCAGAAGGACAAGAGCTCTGGGAGAAACAGAAATCCTGGATCCTCGGCAGTCTCAGGAGTTTCACTAGTAACTGCTACAGCACCAGGATCACGTTCCAGTCTCATCCCATCCCAGGGATGAAATGACCAAAAGGGAGGCGCCCTTTGGCAGCAGGTAATTATTCAAAGGGCAGCCTACTAAGACCAAGAAGCAAGCCCAGGGGCCAGGAAGGCTGCAAGTTAACAGGGCACGAGCTAGTAGCTGATTCCCTCTCCTCCTCAAGTGAGCTCAACTGCATGTGGCTATAAGCCATAGCAATGCACTGCTGACATGAGAGAAATAAGCTCCATGGAAATGTAACCTTCACTTAGGGAAAGCAGGGGGGGAAAAGAAATTAGAGCTGCAGCTCACACAGCCTCTAAGGTGTGTGTTTGCATGCAGCCTTCCAGAGGCATCCGGCTCTGAATGCATCCTCACCTTGGCTCCAGAGAAAATAAGCCTTTATTTGGAGCCTGGGGTGAAACCCAGGCAGTACCTTAAAAAGAAAGGACTACAACAAAAGATGTAGCATAGAATCCAAGGGAATGGCAAATTCCTGTAAGCCATTTTCCAGCAGCTGCTACGGATTTAAGACTATGTTTTTAAAAGTACTTAGAAGAAAAAGGAGCAAAGTCCTTCTGTGCCTTACTCCTATATGGAAGTTAGATTCTGAACTTAAGCTAGGTAGGGAAGTTTGGGGTTTTTTTCTTAAAACACCAGCAGGCATCTCTCTACCCTTTAGTTTGTCTTTAAGCATTTTTTCAGCTCAGCCTTTAACACCTCTGAGGTGGCACCATGTTGGAACCTGCACTCAAGGGCAAAGGCCAAAGAGCATCCAAAGGTGCAGTCAACATCAGAGCAGCTGCTGCTGTGCTGCAATTCTTAAAAAAATCTTAAAGAAACCCCACACACAGCTGCAGGAGCCTTACTTCGAGGGCTGGGCCTGGCTTTGTTCACACGAGCAACCTCGTTATTCCGGGCCGTGAAGCCGGCAGCCTGATGCCCACCTAGCCAAGCGATTACTCCTTCCCAGACTCATCCGATGCCGGCACAGGAGGGAGCCCGTGGCAACCACGCTGGGCCAGGATCGGCTCCTTCAGCAGAATCGGTAAGGATAACAGGGAAGGGGCTGGTTGGCAGCCCGTGTTTCCTGGAATTTACTTAATTCCTTCGAAAGCTGGTTATACTAAAATCCAACAACTACTAAACAGCAGCAGCAAAAAAAGCAAATCCTTCTGAAATAGCATATTAGCTGAAACATGATTTAAAAAGCAAGATGTGCAGCCAGAGATTACAGTCTGGCTTTTACAAGGAAAACAATTTTCAAGCTGCCCGTGTTGAAAGCAATCTCCGAGCAAGTAATTTCACAACATCCATCGAGCTGTCACATTAAAAAGTCATTGCCCTATCTGTGGCACACTTCCCTCTGCCGTCCCTTCTTTCTTTTCTTTTTTTTTTTTTTTTGTCCTTTTTTGTCCTCCTCTTTCTCTTTTTTTTATTTTTTTAATATTTAATTATCTTCTCATTACAAAGCAACAGCTTCCTATGAGCCTTTAGACACGGCATTTCAGACTCAAGGATGTAAGCCATAATTTTTACAGAAACAGTCTTCGTTGTAAAATTATTCCTAAATCTCCTCACTACCCCTCCCCTTTCACAGATTAAACTTTCCCTGTGAGGAAAATGGCTCCTTCCATACAGCAGGAAACTCATTTTTAGGAATTAAAGACAACATCATCACTGATCCCTTGCAGCAATGATGTCTACAGAGCAGCTGATAGCCAACTAAATGGCTCTTCTCCTGCCTGTAACTTGCTCTCATTAGGAAAAAGGAACTCTGCTGCAAATTTCTTACCTTTTCCCCAAATTTGAAAATTCAGAGTCCGTAACTAGCGCACATCCAAACGCAGGAATGAAGCCCAGCACTCCAGAAGAAACAGGAGCTCCTCAGCAAGCTTCACTGCCAGGTGGAGCAGCACCTTGGCACGGTGCCCCCACACTCACCTGGGGACAGACTCCTGGTGCCAGGACCAGTCCATGAGGGATTTGCTCCTCACCCACCTGTGCCAAGGGCAGCCCACACTGCAGCCTGCCAGGCTGTCAAATACACATGAGGTTTGCAGGGTGCAGGCTCGATGCTGTAAAAACTGGCACGATTTCAGGTCCTTTCATTCATTTTTACGCTGCTACCTGACCTTACCTTCCAAACACTCTTTTTAGTTTCCCTTCAGCCATCTGTACAGGGAGTAAATGGTTGGTATAAATCGTCAAAACAGCTCGTTCTTGCACGCAGTCCTTCCAGACCACTGGATCACTGGGGCTTAAGTCATTTAGTTACTTTATTAGCCAATTTCTACCCAATTTCAAATCCTTGAAGCTGTCATTTCTACACTGAGCACTCAGTTCATCATGACAAAAGTTCCATGTCAGGACATCAGTAATGGAAAAAGGCTTTGTTCTTTTCCTTTTTGGTGAGTTAGGTGACATTTGTGGGAAGGTTTGCTTCATTTTGGTGCTTTATGGACCCATCTGTGTGGATCCCTCAAATACCTGCTCTTACAGCAGGTAACATTCAGGTCCAAACCTGGTCCATCAATCCCCTCTTTATTATACCTTTTTATGAAAGGTTTTTGTCTCCTAAACAGTCAGATTTTGTCAGGTAAGCCAAGAAAACAACCAGGGCATCACCTGGGCTCTGCTGGAACCGCTACGTGATCCTTCTCCCATGTGATGAGCGGCGCGGGCAGCCCTTCGATGCGACACTCGAACCGGGCCATGCCATTTTCCTCCGCTGCCTGCGACTCCGGCTGTTGGAAAAAGCGCGATAAGGCTGGGAAAAAAAGAGGAAAAGAAGGGAAGTTAACATCTTAGTGCTTCTGCTGTGAAATGCAAACCTATTACGATGCACAAGCTAGGAGCAATCCCTTTTTCTATTAAAGACAGCCTGAGATGTAATTCGTCACTTCCCCATGCCCTACAGGCCCTCTCTAGTCCTAAGAGCAGTAACTGAAACATTTCAGTGTGCAAATTTGCTTCTGCTTCATTTTCTCCTTGCAGGCAACCGTGTGAGAGAAGATAGGCAATTAGTTGCTTTTGCCAGTTGCTTTCCTGCATTGCCTCCCTCTGTTCATTTGCTCTGTTTGGCTTCACTGTGCACTTGGGGAAGAACACGTAGAATGAGAAAAAGAAGGAGAGGGAAAATGCTGCTCTGCTGACAGATGAGACCTCTCCCTGGCCGTGTGGCCCTCCTGCAGCCACAGGAAATTAGAAACAAGGCATGAGAAAAAACTAAGTCAGATGTGGCCAGACGCAAGTTTTTTTAGTCTAAATAACTGCCCAGGGGCTGGACACTAAGATGAGGGACCATAAGGGTTATGATCTTCCTTCTCCATTAGCAGCTGTTTTTGCCATACAGACAGGGTGCCCTCATTAAAAAAAAAATGTGACATCTGAAAGCATCTCTGTTCCCCTCTGCTTCATCTCTTGTCAACCTCTTCTCTTCCACTCATTAAGTGGCACAATCTAAGCTGATGTAATGAAGCCCCAAAGCTTGCAGAAGACCCACCCCAGAGAGGTGACAACACAGGTGGCACCCGGTGTGTCTGACCAGCCACCCTGCTGCCGTGGCAGGGGCAGAAAGGCTCAGCAGGAGCCGGTGAGCAGCAGCCAGGTTTATTTTCTGGTCTCAAACCAAACAACCCCGGGGCTCCCAAACCTCTGGCTGGTAAGAGAGACGGTACATCCAGCGAGCCACATTTGCACCCCAGCAAGAAGGTGAGGAGCGCCCTGGCGAGAAGGTGACGAGTGCCTCGGGGCGCAGGCAGCGGCCTCCCCCCAGCCCGTGAGCCAGCTCCGTGCTCACAGGAGCTGCCAGCCGGCAACACGACACCCGGGGCAGAAAATGCAGCGTATGTGAGGAATTCGGCCTGCCGAGAGCAGCCTGCCGCTCGCTCCCGCAGCGCCCTGCCACCACACTGGCTCTCGGCAGCCTTGGCCCCTCCATACCTTTTAAAATTGGTACCAGGTATTTCCAGACAACGCAGCCTGAGCAGCCCGCGTGTAAAGGGACAGATGCCCAGGAGGGGATCGGCGACAGCCCCGAGGGGTGACAGCGGCAGAGACACCCAGGGGGCTGCGGCCGCAGAGTCACCCGACGGGCCCTGCTCCTGCCTCCCCTCCGAGGCCAGGGACCGCGTGGGGACACCCGTGACGGGGACGGGACACGGGCCGTGCGTGGCCGCTCCCTCCCGCGCCTCCCACGGTGACAATTGCTGCAATTTGCTGGAATCTCCCTTGTGCAAAATTAGCACCTTTAACAAATCCTCGCCGGTGCAGCTATTAGCAGGTAGAAAGCTACACCTTTCCACAACTAAAATAACACCTCGCGGTTCCCCGTCGGGCTCCAAAACCTGATTGCCTGTGTTTTACTCCTCTCTCTCACTAACCGCTTCCAGGAAGCCCCAGCTTGACGTCCCACACAGTCGGGCAGCCCTGCACACACTGCCAGCTCATCACCCCCGGCCGCCTGCTCCGCTTGGCCGCTCCGGGTCTCCCGACCCACTTCCATCCAACACCTTCCCCTTCCTCGGCCGGGGAGCTGTCAGCCCTCACACATGGGAACGCCAGAGCTGCCCACAGCTTTTGAAGGGATTGCAAAGGAGCTGCAGACTCCTGCGGGTCCGGAATGTCTCACAGCGCAGGAGCTGCACTGAGGAGGGCAGGAGTCACATGGAATGACTGGCCTCGACAACGCCTTTGCAACACCCAAAGGTGCACAGAAATCCTACCTCCCTGCTCCGGATCTCCATCGTGGGCAGGAAACACACTGCTGATGGGGAGCACGAGGCCACCTTTTACTGCCCTGTTCCCATTGGTAGCACCCAGGGCAATCGGGGCAGGGAATAATCCGTCTCCATGTAAACAACTTCAGCTGGATTCCTGCATTTCTCCAGCTGGGAGGAGGGGGAAGAGGAGGGGGAAGCCTCTAAACTCCTCATTTGCACCAGCTGAATGCTAATGCAGCAAGTGCTGCTGCCCAGCCCACAGAACAAACTGCGGTGGGAGATGCATTTCATTAGCAATTCCCTCGCTGCTCTCCACTGAGCAGGGGATGTCTCGTGTCAGGTGCATTTGTGTCCCACATGCAAAACCAGCAGCCCCGTGCTCTATGTTTGGGAACTCAAGCTCCGTGTCTGCCCCGGGGTGGACCCTGGCCCTCGAGAGCCCCCAAACTCCTGCTCACCACAGCCCCCAGCCCGGGCTCTGCTCGGAGGCGGCCTGGCCACAGATGAAAAGCCCCAGGCCCAGCCGCTTTCAGGCTTTATAGTTTCCACAAGGCCGCGTTCAGACAGACTAAAAGCCCAAGTCACCAGAGCTCATGAACGGGCAGAGCAGCAGATGTCTCCAGAGATTTGCTAGGACCTAAACAAGCAACCGAAGGCAGGGGCTAAGGGGAATCTGGCCCACAGGTACACCATCTGACCTGCTTTTTTAGGTCTTTCTATCCCTTGAGTGACCCTCCACAACCACCTGACATCCCTCAGAGGTGACTTCTGTCAGGGTATTCACGCTCTTCTCCCAGCCTGAGCAACTTGCTCCTGGGAGCCCTTCCTCCTACAAGAGTGAGGTCCAGGCCAAAGGGTACTGCAGGCTCAGAGCAGCAGGGAACAGGGGATGGGAACAGTCAAGGCAGCTCTGACAAACATGAACTCAGCACTGGGACAACCATTACCTCCCCTAAGCTAGGCTCCAAGGGGTTGATTTCTGCACGAAAAATAAGTACAGCCCCTTGGAGAGTTAGGAGGAGCCTGTCTTTAATTGAGAACTCATGACACTTACCTGGGAGAGATGCACAGGATTTTAATAGAAAGATGCACAGGATTTTAATAGAGGAACAGGAGAAAGACAGCACATCTTATTTGGGAATGATCCCAAATCTCACCTATGTATTATTAACAAAACTGCACTTCACAGACACTTTAGCCCAGCTCTCTTGGAGGCAGGTTGTACAGATACAAGGGGAAAAAATCCACTTACTTGAAAATCTGACCGTAGCTGTTTGACTGGTGACAGCCCCTAGGGAGCTGTGGGACACGCAGGAGTAGTTACCCTCAGCGCTGGCCCGCTCAGGGTATTTGCTGTCTTTTGCCACAGCCTGGGATGAGATGAAGAGCGATCCATTGGGAAGCACGTGCAGATTTTCCTGGTCCACTAATGGAAAGCCATTCCTCTTCCACGTGATATTGATCACCTGTTCAACGGGGGCCACGTTACAGTCCAAAACCACGGCTTGGTTTGGCTCCAGGATCACCTTCGCAGGGCCTGCACTGCAGCCCAACTCCAGAGAATCCCCCTCCGGCAGCTTCCCTGCAAAACAAGACAGTCGGTTCCTTGGGGGTCGCTCTGCTTGGCTGATTCTGTCCCAGTTTTGCACAGCGAAGGAGGCACAGTTCTCCATGAGCATGGTCAGGGATTAGACAACTTAGCCTTGCTAGGTGATCAGCATCTGCCATGAGGTGAAAGACAAAAAACGTCTAAAACTGTGACCTGACATCTCCAAGTGTTTTATCTGATGGAGCTGAATCTGGAGTGAATGCAAGCAAGGTTTGCAGGAGAAAACAAAAGAAAAAGATACTGCAGCAGCAGAGTAACAGACCAGGCGAGCTCTGCGGCGCGTCTCACCCGGCACATGCCCTCCCTCCTGCAAGCAGAGGCCGGCGCAGTGACCAGCAGCCAGTTAAGTGAACAGGTCCCATCTTGGCCCCTCTCCAAGCCCATGCACTCATCGGAGAGCTCCACCTCCGAAACGAGGCTCAGCATTTCCTAAAAGAATATTGCCATTAATAAAATGCATTTGCTGTTAGAGTTCTCCAGAGACACTAAGTCAATGTTAGCTGGCAGCGCTGCTTCCACACACCAGCAATTTCAATCTCTGCTGTGTTCAAACCATCACCATCCACTCTTTTTATGGCTCTGCTCCAAATTATTTTGTCACTGCTCCAATCAAAAATGTTTCCTGCCTCTATAACAAGTTTATCAACACTGGATACGAACCACATGGCTCCCTGCCCGTCTCCTATCGCAGAAGGCTACAGATTAATTTTATAGGAATTCAAACACCCTATTAAACCTGCTACTACCTACTGCTGATAAAAGGGCTGCGTTTTAAAGGAGCGTGTGTTAAGCATGCAATTAAGGGCAATGACACGCAAAATTACACACGCAGGGGGATGGAATTATTTCGAATTGGGAAGCGCAGGTTCCCCCGTGGAAAAGGCCGGTCCGGCCACACGCGTGGCGGCGGCGCTACCTGCCCAACCTTGGGATGCTCCAGCCTGGCAGGTTGGCAGCGAGAGCAGCCGCGGGCGCAGCGGGAGACGTGGGGCAGCCCCGGGAACGCCGTGCCGGCTGCCGGTGCCTTCAGCGAGCTGCGAGCTACAGGCCAGCCCTGCTGCGCTCCGCATGGTTTATGGCCAGTGCTGTGGGACTGGCGACGATGGCTGGGCCATCCCTGTCCATCCAGGGGTGGGCAACATCGAGCAGGGGCTTGGACCCTGTCCCAAACCCCCTGACTTCCCAGGACACAAGGACAAGGTGGTTGCTCCCTTGGTCACAGCAGAAGGTCTGAGGAAAGAGTGCCCAGGGCTCTGCGCTCGCGCTGCCCTCCCTGCTCCTTCCTCCCAGGCACACGTCCCACACCAGGTGCTCCCGTTCCTCACTCCGGGCTCCCACGTTTCTGCCCTATTTTCCACTTCCTTCAGACTGTGATTCAATGGTGTCTTGCTGGAAACGCTCCCCTTCCGCAGGCGCAGCGAGGAGGGCGGCTGGCTGCCCGGCAGCAGCTTCCAGCGCCGGCACAGGCCCCTGTGAAGCCATGAGCGGCCTCTCCAATCTGGCCCTCCGCAAAATCAGCTCAACAGGTTTGCAGGGGAGTAAGGAGTGCCGCACTTTGCGCCACAACGAACAAATATATATATTAAACATGAAGATGTCTGTATAGCCCAAAATAGCTCCAAAATCAATCCCCAAAATATATACCCCAAAATATCCCCACAGTCAAAACCTGAGATCCAAACTTCCAGCAGTTCCGTTAGACAAAAGGGCCAACTGCAGAGCTGGGTACTGAAGCGCTGAGCTCACACGGTCCAGCCTGGTTTACGGCTCTCTCTCCTGCACCGAGAGAGGGGAAGAAAAACTTTTGAGGGAAACGCATCGGAAAGCGGCTCCTCACAGACAAGGGAACAGGCCCGTTAAGGTGACGAGGATCAAAGGCTCCTCCTCACCTCCAAGGGAGACCAGAGGCTGCTCCCATCATCAATATTCGGGGCACTCACTGAGCTGATAGCAACAATAAAATCCCGCTAGGTTTTAATAGGAAGAAGTCTCTTTTTTTTTTTTTTTTTATGCCTCCATGCCAATAAACACACATCTGCACAGCTTTGAAGTGCAATAGTCACTCCTTTCCTGCAGACATGTTCCTGCCATATTATCTATCCCAAAAGAGCAGAAAGCCTTTAGAAGCTTTCTTTAGATGTCCATCTCCAGGGCATCAACGTTTCTACTTGCAAACATCTACCGAAGTGCAAAGCTAAACAGTACCCACGCGATGGAGAGGGGACAGGATCGTATTCAAATCGCTCCCCTTTATTCCAGGGTCTCCAGAAGCACTTCTAGGTGAAGCAGCTCTGTAAGAAGGTTAGTTTGGAAAAGGCTGCCTTGGTAGGATGCATGGGACAGCCCGTCCCTGCTTCTCAGGGGGCTTCTAGCTGGGGCAAAGGAACCCCTGGACATTGGGCTGCTGTGGGGAGCACAGAGCTGCCCCAAATCCCTCCCTCCTGCCAAAGCCTCCCAGCCCCTGGGAAGGGGCCCTGAGCAGGGCCCAGGAGCCAGGGACGGCACTGCAAAGAAAATCCCAGCACAGCTCTCATCCCGAGATGTTCAAAGGTCTGTATAAACACTCCCTGATTAAGGAAGAAATACCTTCCAGGCCCTGCAAACGTGGGAGGAAGTCTGGTTCAAAACACCACACTAAATTAGCAAGCTTGACAATGAGACAAAAGCCCTTTCAAGGGAAGGGATCAGAACAGGGTAAAATTACTCCAAGTGAGATCAAAGACAAATGAAATCAGGAATGTTAAGTGCTTACAGAAGCTGCTATTTCCAACCTCCTTTCCCCATCGCGAGGTGACAGAAATGGATGCAGCCTGTTAAGCACGGGGCCACGCACTCGTGTGGGCTCCTGCTCCCCTTCACCCCTACCTGCCTTAGGGCAAGGAAGGCTCTAAGGATTCGGGAACGCGGCCACCAAGCCCTCCCGGATCAGCCCAAGGCAGAGGTTTCAGCTACAGACCTGTATGCACCAAGGAGCTGGGGAGTTTTCTTCCCTTTGGCTCCTCAGGGACGTAACTTCAAAGGTGAAAACCCAGTGCCAACAGGGAGGCTCTGCTCACACACTGCTCAGGCTGGGCCACGGGGTCCCATAGAGCTTTCCTCTATGGACAGCAACATCACGCAGTACGTTCAAAGTTCCAGGACAATAAATGTATGTGCGAATCCATATTCATATAGATATGCATAGACACCAAGTGCTCCGAGGGAATACGCATGGACTGAGGGGCAGAGAATGCCCTGAAAGGGAGGGCTGCTGAGGCTGCAAGTGAAAAGCGTTTTGCTTCATAGGACATTCTCTCCTGTGACCCGGGCTCTGCAGAACACTTGCTCTGTCCTCTGCTGCTAACACCAAGGCTGTACCAGGCATAAAAAGAGTACAGAAGGGAAAAAAAATAATAAATACACAAACACTCACTCCCATTAGCCATTCACCCACCTCTAGGGTTCAAGTCCAGCAATATATGAAAAATTCTTCTGTTGATTGACACAAAAAACAGGGTCCATGGGATGGATGCAACTTCTAACTTCCTTAAGGCCAAATCCTGTCCTCCATGAGAGCACAGTCCCTACCAGCAAGAGGCTGGAGTCCAGAATCAAACAAGAGTATGAAAAGCCCATGAGCCCAGACGACATCTCCCTTTCGGGAACGCGCGTCTCCATGTACTGCCAAAACCTCCCCTAGGGCCTCTCCTCCTCAAATGGAAGCTGGAACAGCCCAGCTTACCACTAAGCGCAGAGGAAAAAGCAGCAATTCTCTTGCTTTCCCACCTGCAAAACTATGGACAGCCATGGGAAGCGCGAGCCAGCAACTCAGCGAGATCTGATGGATTCCTGACACGGAATTACTTGGCTAGAGACAGGACCCTCAAAGCACTGTCTTCCCCTCCAAGGCACAAAGTACCACCAGCCTATCAATCCCTTGGGAACTTGCACTCCATGGCTGAGAAGAGCCCTGTCTGGTGAATAAACCCTTTCCCTTGCTCCAAGCTTAATACTTAGAAGAGGAGGAAAGGCCTAGGCAAGCAACACACCTGCTTTGGTGCAATTTTGGCCACGTCCTTGATCTCCATTACGCAGCATGTGCAAATAAAAGATTACTGTTCAACAAATGGCTTTGTTCGAAGAAGGAAAATTTGCCTTTTAGTGATGTTTTTAAAAACAAAAGACAAACAGGGCAGATTTCTGTATAAGCCAGCAGAGCATCCCCTGCCTTTTTCTTTGTGTCCAGCACCTCACTGTCCTAAACCCCTCCAAGGAACCCAGCCCAGTTAAGCAGCATTGTCCAGTCTCCATGAGGGCCACCACGTTGGCACCATCCAAGCCATGGTCTGCACTGACCCACAGCTGGGGGAAGGCCCCGTTTTCAGAGCCTTCTCTGCTAGACAAAGAGGGTCCCTCCCTCTCCCCAGGGCTCTATGAAACCACAACCCTCAGAGAGAGGAGGCACCCAGAGAGGCTGTTCCTTGTCTCAGGGTGTCACCATCCCTCTGCAACCCTCCCTGGCAGCTCAAGAGGCTGCAGGGGCAACGCAACGACTGGATGGAGCCGTGGCCTTGGAGCACAACCTGCTGACAGCTTCCAGCATGCAAGAAGCCACAAACACGCCCCAGCCCGAGCAAAGCAGCCCGCGTGGAGCCGCGGGAGGTGAGCACTTCCCAGCGAACGAGACACGCAGCTTCTCGGCTGACTCGCTTCCAGAGCTGACAGCGCTCGCAGCTCTTGGCAGCCAGCGGTTTTCCTGGGGAGCCGCTGTTGTGCCGCAGGTCCCGCCGGCTGGAGCAAGGCCAGCGCGCTTCCCATTCCACATCTGGCACTTGGCAAGCGGCTCGTGCACCTTGCGGAGCCACGGCCAAGGAAAAGCCCGCGGGACTGGGAGCGGGGCCCGGACGCGGCGGGTACCACCCTGGGAGAAGGGGCTGCTCTCCGCTCCACATCCCGCGGGAGGTGGCAGGAATTCAAGCCGCAGTTAAGCCTCG